AGTCATACGCGTGTGTCTCACATTCACAGCCACTCTGTCCCATGGTGCCGGTTCCATGTCCCCTTCCTCTGACCTGCACACCCCTGATAGCTGGATTTCTGTCCCTTCAGCCCCCACCTGCTCCCCACTCCGAGGATGGGGAAGTTGAGAGAGATCAGTCAGTCGTACTTGTCACATTGAAGAATTTCTTCTAAAAAAAATCCACTCCTATGACTTCCCTATGGGCAGCCAACTTGGGGTTGGAGGTGTGATGGAAGAGACATTGATGTCCTTGCTGGAAGACTCCTTGGCTGTGCTCTTGGAGGGGAGGCAGGTTTGGCCTGGTCCCTCATGTCCCACAGGGCCGGGTCTGGGCTCGGTGTGGGAGCTGGCATCTTGGGCCCTCGCTGTCCTCAGAAGTCACCGTTAGCTCTGCCATACTCTGTTGGTCACACAGACTAGCTACAATTCAGTGTGTAAGGAGACCTCACAAGGGCCTGAGTGGAGGGAAGTTTGAGGGCCATCTTGGAGACTGGCTAACATAATGCTCCAAGGTTAGATATTTTGCCAAATTCTGATTCGCAGAGAAAGCTTGCTCACCAAGCCAGGCCCCGGACTTGGGGTCGGGAGGTTAGGGGGAGGCAGCATAACACTATACCTGAGAAGGCCGTGCCCAGTACCCAGCACAATGCCTAGTCTATAGTGGGTACTCGAGCGTTACCTGTTGGACGAATGGATGAGGCACCAATTAGGGGGGCACATTCTCCTTATATGGAGCCTAAAGTTGGGGAAGGAGAGGAGGAAGGAGGATGGGAGGACAACGAGGCCGCCGTGGTCACTGGACAGCCTGGATGGAAGGGCAAGGCCAGCATGCCAGAGGGAGGAGGAGGAGTGCCTCAGGCTGTGCCACTGCAGAGCCGTGGCCGGATGAAGTCACAGCAGAAGCAGAGCTGGAGCCCAGCTGCTTTGCCAGGAGCCCCGGCTGCAGCAAACCACGTGAGGCTTGGGGCAGTGGGCAACATCCCTCTGCCCCCCACGCACCCCAAGTAGAACTGTCCCTCATTTAATGCTGGTTCTCCCGAGCCTTCTCCCTGGGCACAGCTTTCGTCACTTAGGAAATCTCTATTTTGGAGAAAAACTAATTCCTATGGTTTGAGGATTTCGATCTTTAATTTTTTTTCTCCGTACTTGCATCAAAAGTGAGATGTCTTCAAAGCCCCTTAAAATTTCCTCTCTTAAAAACAGGAGGTTTAACTTAGGAAATCTCTATTTTGGAGAAAAACTAATTCATATGGTTTGAGGATTTCGATCTTTAATTCGATCTTCTCCGTACTTGCATCAAAAGTGAGATGTCTTCGAAGCCCCTTAAAATTTCCTCTCTTAAAAACAAGAGGTTTGTTCTTTGCCATGTTCACACTGGCCCTGGAGCAGAGAGCAGTGTGGTTTGGGGGTTCAGAGATGAGGGTTCATCACAGCCTCTTTCCTCAAAGTGTGGGCTCTTAAGTCTGGCCTTTTATTGGATGGAGAAACTGAGGCCTGGAAGGAACAGGGTATCCAAAGACCCACAGCAAATGAGAAGACCTGGTCTGTCCCTTAGAACAGAATGTACTGATAGGTCCAGTTACTGATGCCCGCCCAAGTTCCAGTCCTGTCCCCAACCTGGACCCAGAGGGCATTCAGAGGCCACTAAGTGTGGTTGTACCTGGGTGAGGGTGGCCTGCCGGTCCTCAGGCAGGTGTGGAAGGGAGACCACGGCCCTTCTGACATGCTGGACCAGTGCTGGCCTCAGCTTCCCCTGACATCCCCATAGAGAGAAAAGGCTGGTTTGTAAGGAGCCTGAACCCACCTCAGCGTGGTCCAGGAAGGTGTGTCCAGGTGAGTTGTAGTCGGCCCTGAGATGGGTCTCCTATCCACTCGCGGATCAGCAGGAGGACTGAAAACCGCCCGTGAGAAGCAGACGCCCCTGCCGACAGAGTCACATCACGGCCCTCCCGTGCAAGCCGAGGTCCTCTCCTGTCAGGCCCCACGGCTTCAGCATCCGCTCCCACAGCAGCTTTCAAGTGAAGCTCCTCGGGCTCCCTTGCTTTCTCACACCTGGCGTCACACAGGCTGCTCCCTCCAGCTACCGTGCCCTCTGCTACCCCCATGGGTCAAAATCCAACTCATCTTTTTTAAGACCAGACTCTGTCTCTACTGTCCTTTCTGGCCTCTGTTCTTTTCAGGTCGGGAAGGCGTGAGGTTTCTTGGTCCGTCCCCAGAGCCCAGCAGTTGATGTCTGATGCACACATGATGGACGCCCGCCGCGTGCAGAGTGCGGGGCGGACGATCTTCAGCACGAACTCCCCTCTCACTTCCAGCATTGCAAGCTCGCTGCGTCCCGGGACGTTTAGCT